ACTTCCTGGTAAATCCTATCCCCACGGAGATTTTGCATGCCATAGAAACATGCAGTATTAACAATAAGGAAACCTTAACCAATATAGCAACAGAAAACAGTTGAGATGACGATTGATTTTATCAAAAAGGCAGACCTAGCACAAGTTATTACTCTGATGAAAATGGTATGGTAACTTTGACGATAACTGTTGGTCTGACTAATTAAAAGAATAAAATAGAAGAAATTAGTGTGATTCTTAATACTTGAGCCTCAAAAGAACAAATATATATTTGCATACCTGATACATTTTCACATGTAATGAGAAAATTACATCCAGCTGGACCATTCTGTTACTCTGGTGACTGCTACGTGAACTGCCTATAGAGGGTTTCATCCTCTATCAAAATTTTCTAGAATGGCTGGAGAGGAAATGGTCATCTTGTGTCTGCCCAAATATACCACTACTCAGGAGACTCAGTGACAAATTTGCTAATTTGATGCGCATCAGGATGTATTTTGACCAAGAAAGCAGGATAAATAGAAATGCTCTCCACCTTGCTTTCTTGAATGTTCATTGAGCAGATGGGGAAATCAAGCCATAAATATATTGACTTCCCCAAATCATGGAGAAGTACAAAGAAAACCCCCGAATCCTTAATCTCAAACATAGTACATAGCTGACCACACTCATATATGCTCAGGTACATCACTCTACCCTATTGGCCTTGTATTCTATTGCTTTTTATATTGCTTAGTTATTGATGTTGTAGGAAAATAAACATTTCCAGAACAAAGCACAAAACGAAACCTAATAAAAATTTGAATTAATACATTAAATACATTAAATATTAAAATGTGATTTTGATTCTCGGTGTTCCTTCCATGTTGCTTAGTAGCATATTATTTCCAAAATATAAGGAGGGGACGATTCACATACAGATTTTCTCAGTGTCACAAAGTTATCCTTAAGTACATTTAATACAAAAATCCCATGTTTAGAGTTGGTGATGAAGGGACTGAATAGACAATGGGAAACTGCTGAAATGATTATTAATGTTTTGTTTTCCTCACAACATTAATTTTTTAAGTCAACTAACCAACATTTATTTTGAAACTTTGAGAAAAGTAGCTCAAACTTAGTATTTTAAACCTGTCATGAACTTTGATATCTTTGGATGATTAACAGAAGATTTTTTTTTTACATATTTTTATACCTTTTTTTTTTTTTTTTTTACATATTTACAAATGTGCCTGGCTATATGATATGGATAGAAGTTTCTTTGGAGGTAAGGCTATTTAAAACAAACATAGCCCTAATACATGCTTGCTGCACACAGCCACCAAGAAGCTGATAATAAATGTACATACTTGCATGCTCTTATTAGAAAAGCTGGCCCTTTTCCACTACTTTTTATTGCGGTCCTCTGCAAACTTTGCCCTAGATGCTAGAAACTGTTGTGATTCAGAGAGCTACAGAAGTGCAACCAATGAAATAGATGGCTGAGAAAAGGGAGCAAAGGGAAAAGTGCAAGGCAGAAGTCACTTGCTAATGATTTTATAGAAATGAGCCTACAAATCTTATTTAAACTTGTGACCTCCCACTGATGTAAATAGCAGCATTTTCATGTTGCTATTGGTAAATGTTCGTGTTGCATATGTTAAATTACATCCTATGCAAATTTAGCATCTGGTCTTTGGTTAGATCTTGATATGAGTAGCATGGCTTGCATTTCTAAAGGACTAAAATTTCATACAATATTAATAAGTTCATTTCATTTTTCGTAAAGCATCTTTTTCTGGCATTTGAGGACTGTTTAGTAGAAGGCTTTCATGCAACTCTGTTCTTCTCAGGTGAAAAAAATGTCAAAATATGCTATATGGAGAGGCCAGGGCCCTTGCAATTGCAGTTTTTGCTTTAGACACAGCTGACACCATCTCTGCATTGTTATGTCTCTTGTATGTGCACAGCATGATCTAGAAAGTGAGTTATAATGGAGACAATCCCACTGCAAGGTTGATAGAAAAATAAAAGCTATGCACAAAAAAGCAGTGTGCCACTCCATACAACAGAGAAACATTGTATTTCTATTATTTGTTGAACTTCTCAGCATATTCAAATGATTTCCAGGTGATGAGATTTGTTAGTGTAGAATTAAGGTAGACTTTAAATTTTATTTAAAAGCCATAAGACAGCTTAGAGGTAAAAATCCCCACAATTCAGAGCTGAAGTCAAAAAAAGAAAAAAAGAGTCATTACAGATGTGAACAGTCAACACCACCTGTCTTTGCTCCTGTATGATAACATTGAGAGGAATGAGAATGAAAGTTGCAGGGCAGAAACAAGTCCTGCTGCTCTCACATGCACCCACAGCATCAAGAGCCACTGCCCCTGTGCTGACCCTTCTGCCGGGGACATTAGTGACAAAACTGAAGGACTTACTTAAATTTCTTATTATTGGTAGCCATAAGAATTAAGAGCACTTTCAATTAGGCTACCTTAATTTTAAAGTTGCGGGGGCTGTAGAAGACTAATTTGGTAGACTGCAAACTCTTTTCAGGCAAGGGCTCTTACATACTACATGTTTGTACAGTCTGTAATATGTTAGTCACTATCTGCATTGGCTCTAGGGGCTACTGAAGAACAATGTTAAAATGTTGGTATTTCCTAAACCAAACTGCATCAGCACATACATTATAAATGGTTGTCTTTCCTGACTTCTTGCACAATCTGTTAACAGAGGCATTGCTGGCTGCTTTATGAATCAAATGGAACAATAACTGCTCTCTTCCCCTCCCACCCACAGTTTCAAAACAAGAATGTGGCTGGTCACCTGTTTATTTGTGAACAATTAAAACATCTTGTTCACATATGCACAGACAGCTCCCATCAAAAATCAACCTTTGGTACTCTCCCCTTTGCCAAGCCTCCCCTCCCAACCCTAGCCTTAACTGCATGACTAGTCATTATAGAAATAGGGATAGCTTTCTGTGTTTAAACATACGGATAAGGAGCAGCTCAGTATTGTGTCTTGGCAGATTCTTAAGACCCAACACACAAGAAATGGCATATTTCAGTATGCTACAGCCTAGAACAATCTCTTCGGAATAAACAACAACCCTTCATTTGAGTTCAGTGGGCTTTGAATTAGACAAATAATGCTGAAGGTGGTTGTCTTTGAAGATAAAACTATTCCATTGTAGCTCTGACCTTGATCAGACTCTCAGTTCATTCACTCAGTTGCATTTAATGCAAGTAGTCGCTCAACAGACAGATGTCTGTATCTGACTCTTTGTCTTCTACGCTCCTTTATAACCAGTGGAGAAAAATAAAGATCTTCCTAGGACATGAGCCATCAGTGACTAGAAGAGGATCTTAGGGCAACTGGTTCCAATGGTAAATCTGCGCTGTATGTATTCATATTAGGTGGTATGAACCCTTGCCACAATTCATTGCGATTAATGCAGAAAATAAAACTTAAGCATGCATGTAAATCTTAGATGTTGTTTCTGGTAGTGAGGTAACCATGGCATATTGGGCTCATCATTCTATGCTTTGGCTATCCAAACTCATATTACAACTCTGCTTGGGTTATCTTTCAATATTTAATTCAAATTAACACCAAGAATTACTGTGTCTAACTAAATAGATTACTTTCCTTATATGGTAGTGCCAGATCCTTTAAAGCAGCAAAAAAGATTGACTTTCAAAGTCAGTCTTGCCTACCATTTATATTACCTCTGCGGAGTAAGCTACTGTAATGATGGGGGTGGGGAAAAGGAAAACAAACAGTGAGAGGAAATAAAACAAGGAAGGCTATTCATAAAATATATTAATTAAAAAACAAATCCTTAACATAGAGTATGTTTACTCATTTCCTAAAAACAGAAATTGCTCTGATGGATCAGACTACTTCAATGTAGTTCTAAACCGTATTTACTCGCAGTGTCAGGTGACAGAAGCTTCAGAGGAAAAGACAACTGGAATGGGCAGGTGCAGGTAACTAGTGTACAGCAACGTTTCCATTGCCAGTATTTCAGGGAATAATAAACTCTTTAGTTGCTATTTCTGAGTATCCCTTCCAAACAACTTTTCCCCCCCCCCCATTAACAGTATTCTGACTAAAGGGCTTTTCACTTGTACAAACACTTAAGTCACTTCTAAGAACTATTAACTTTGTGCTGAAGTTTTTAAAGCATGTAAGAAAACATTATTTCTGAGCCTCTCACTAGCTAACCCAATGCCTTCCGCATAATAAAACTTCTTAAACAGGAGCAGAGATGCGATGATGTGCCTGTCTGTGATATTTCGGAAAGGTAGCGGGCACAGCCAATGGTGTGGTTATGGAATGAGTTCCCCTGTACACCATTTAACACCCTGCCCTCACCTAGAGTCAAATTTTAAAGAAACTTTCCCCTTCTCTCCATTTCTGCATGCCCGGAAGATGGGTGAGCTGTTCCATTACTCAACGGAAAACAATCGGGACACCTTGCTTTTCTACAACCAAGAGAACCACGAGATTTGCAACCTTGCACCCTCCCCTCTCCAATGTCACACACACGTGAGTGTAGAAATAACTTAGATATGGCTTTGTTCACCCAGAATACAAACGGAAATGAGTGCCCAGAACCTGAGATTACTGTTATGTCCTTATCCCATCTCCTTTGCAGTCTTACGCTCCTGCTGCAGCCAGTGCTGTGATGTCAGGTCACGTACGCACGCACCTGCTGGCACATACCTTGGCAAGTCACATTCAACTAGCAATGAACTGCAGTTAGAATCCATAATGGCTTACAATTTGGCCAAAAAGCTTTATAAATACACAGCTATGATTCAGCTTCTGTTGGAAATTATGGAAATTACACACATTAACACATAAAATATGAAGGTCACAGATTTTAAAGCCTAATTCTATGCTATTTAAAAAACAACTAGAATCCTCGTCCTTTGCTGTAAGCCTGGCCACAAGCAAATTTATCCACAGTAATAATACAGTGTTAAAAGTATTTTTTATAAACAAAATATTTTTATTAGACTACTGCACAGGTTATTTTAAATCAAGACTTAAAATATAGTTGTTAGTAAACTATTGATTCAGATCATTTCACTGCAGTCAAAGTTACTGAAGATTAACCTCAGGAGACAATATTTTTCTGAAAAAAGGTGTTTAATGGAATTTTTTCTTTTTTTATTTAGCGTGTTTTGGCAGTATAATTTAAACCAGACAACTTATCTCCTGCAGCATATTCACTAAGCAAAACCAGAACTGAACTGAATACACACTGTTACATTGATCCATTTCCACTTCTGGTGTGAAAATGATCCCATGGTTATATTTATTTTTCCATTTCCATAAATACAGTTATTTTGCAACAAGCTTTCCCACTAGGAGTAAAAGCTGCATCCACAAAAAACAGCTCAAGAATTTAGAGATATTCCAGATACCCAATCCAGTTTACTCCATAAGTGCTTCTATGAACATCCCGGATGGAGAAATCCCTTCCATTGTTTTTTCCTGTTTTATAGCAGCATCTTAATAACATCAGCCTATGTTGAACAGGTAATCAAATATGACCACTCAGCAGTGGTGGTGGTGGGGGTAGGAGAGAAAAAAAAAAAAAAAAACCCTCGAGCGTGGCTTCTACAGACCACATTACCACCTGAGCATTCAGTTGTAGTGTTTTTTCCATGTTTCATTCCTAGAATTAAGAAAAAGGGTGGCCATGTGTAAAACAAGGAATAGCCTCTTCTAAAACAAGAGACCTTTCATATAATATGTAGGCTCAGGATCCTACTTCAGAATGATGAAATTGCATGAGACTATAAGCCTCAACTTACACATACAACAAAGAAAAGGTAACTGGATGTACATCCTTAAAGCTTATAGATAGAATTGTAAATTGTTACTATTTGTCACTTTTAATCATAGATGTATTCAGAAATTTCATTCAGATCTAAGTTATGTTACCCTGACGCTGTGCAAACAATGTAGAGCTATACTGTGACTATTTTGGGATGCTGTTGTAATGAAAGTTGTTTTTTGTATCAGATGGCATGCTTAAAACAGCTTACTTCAACTAAATTATGTTTTCAGATATCCATCTAATCTTTTGGATACACTTTATTCCCTTTTTACGTAATATTCCTTACAGGTTCAATGTTCTTCATTATTTTTCTCTCAGCCCTTGGTTACAATGCATGTTACTAACAATGCTCCTCTTTGCATTTGATTGCTTTGCTCATCAACTACACCACAGCAACTGTTTTCATGCTCAATGCAATGCTCATGTTCCAATGCAAAATAAAATCTTGTCTTAGGCCTCTTACTTCAGTAACAAGGGTGTGTCCAGTCAGTCACACTGCCTCTATTACAGGTGGCAACTTGCTATCTACCGCTGTAACTGGATCATTTTCTGCACACGCCCGTTTCCTCATAGGTACAAGTGGAGCTGGCCTCTCTCCTCTTCACTGATGTCATTAACATCTCAAAGGTCTTGGTTATCTAAAACGAAGAACCTGGCCTGGTCTGCCCTTTTTAAGGGACAATTTGATGAAAGGGCTTCAAACCTCAAGTAGTTCAACTTCTTCCAATGTAGAATCAACTTACTTCGATGTAACCTAAACTCTTTGCCAAACAATTCAACCCAAATCAAAAATAGCCTCCCCTAAACTGAATCTGTCACCCTATGTAGAGACTCATTTAATGGATCAGTTTAAATTCATGTCAAGATAAACAAAGGCACCTTTCTTATACAGAGGATTCCTTCCACATACCTTCTTCCTGCTGTTTTTATACTGTTTGCTAATCTTTCATTATTGCCAGCGTGTGCCAAACACTCTTCTGCCAGCTCCTCAATATCCCTGTTTTCACAGAATTTGTCATAACATTATTCTAAAACATAAAATGTATGATTGCTCACATAATGTTAGATGCTTAGTCCAATTTCTATATAGCAAATAAGCTTTGAAACAGGCAGACTTTTGCTTCTCCATTCAATATGTGAGCACTTTCCCAAAGTTTTCATATGTGTTATGTAGTGAGAATATGAACTACAGCAAAATTAAATCATAATCTAGGAAACAGAAGTGTTACAGTGCCTTAGAGGGTCATCTCCCACATCTAGCGGAAACTGCACATACACATTATGAAGTTGTGTACAGCAGTGTAACACATCATTTTCCACGTTCCTGGAAAGCAGTCATGAAGGCTATTTATCAGCAGCTAGCTCATATTTTCTCCAGAGTCAATCATATGAAATACATGTAGAACCTGGATTAAGTAGGGACTGTACAGCAATACCAGGAAAACAGTCAAAAAAGCACTGAGCCAGCAATTGGATCTGAATGACAGTACATCTGAGCAAGACCAAGAGCAATTTCTCCAAAAAGTCTGATCAAAATTCACTAACGAAACGAGTCCAAACAAAATTTTTTACCTTTTTAAGAGTTTGACTGTACGGTAAGAAGAGCACTGAAAATACCCTTGGTATACCAATTGCAACAAAAATCATAATCCGAATAACAGTATACGGCATACCTGCACAAGCACCGAGACAACACAGAACAAAACCTAATCCATCAAGTCCCTCTGATAAATGGTCCCCTATACAGATGCAAATGTTTATGTACATTTAAGTATTTTTGACAAGAAGTACCAATTCCATAAAAGAAAAGCCACTGCAAAGCTGGAAAAAATTCTAAATATGAACTTAAACTTGAAAAAAAGATCAAAAGCAAGCATTTTCTAATTGTCTGATACACAATAAATTCTGTCACTTTTTATAAATGCCAAAGTTCTTCAATTCTTGAGATAAACTGCAGATTCACGTGTAAAGATTTACTAGATTGCACCACACAGTGTCTTTCACCTTCTCTTGTTTTATACACTGCAAACAAGCTTTGAACATGAAAGAGCAAAATATTCAATTTTTCTTTTCCAGTATAAAAACAGGAGAGTGGCAACTCAGGTCAGAGATAGATATGCTTTAGACACAGTCTGTCAAAATAACTCCAAGGCAGAGACAGTTATTTTAAATTAACTGCACTTGCATCATTTAAATTAATCTAATTTCGTGTTTCGATCCAGCTTCACTGACAATTGTGCTCTTATCCATCCACCTGCTGTTTGAGAAAGCACACTGTATGACTTTAAAATCCCAGGGTCAGAATTTAAACAAAAATGCGAGTCACCTAGCAGTTTAGCATTTCTCAGATTGTATGCTGGAACTGTCAATGAACTTCATTACTACAAATCATATGGTCATTTTCTAAGTTAGCATTAATTTTGTGGTCCATCTTCTGTAAAAGTGCTGGAAGGTCGAGAACAGAAGAAATAACATAATGAGGTACAGGGGAGGTATCTAAGGGGGTCGTCATTGCTTTGTTTAACCAGACAGTAGCTTTCAAGCCAGCATTTAGGCCTCCTTGAATATCTGTGTCTAGAGAGTCGCCAACCATAACACACTCTGCAGGCTGCACCCCCAGAAGATCACAACAGTAATGAAATATAGAGGGTGCCGGTTTCTCCTCCTTCTGTTCTCCCCCCACAACGATAGCATCAAAGTATGGCTGACAGGCACACGCTTCAATCTTCTCCCTCTGGGTCTGCTTGTCTCCGTTGGTCACCAGCAGCAAACGGACCACTTTCCGCAGCTCCGTGAGCATGCCTCGCGTGTCCTCGGCCAGGGTGAGATGCTGCAGGCGGGTCGTTTTCCACAGGAAATAGCATTCGGCAGCCAGGCTGCGGTTCGCCTCCCCCCCCATCGTTTCCTGGATAGCTTCCTGCCAGTGCGAAATTCTCAGGTCAGTGATGCACATTTTAGCGGGATCGTGACACTCCTTGAGAAGTTTCGCCTGGACCTTATCGCAAATGACACGGGCTTCTTCCTCGCCACAGTGATGCTTTGACTGCAGGGCGCTAACCACCTTCAAGGAACACGAGAAACCCATGAGAGCGCCGCACGCGGGCCCGCCGCCGCTCCCCCTCGCCCGCAGGAGC